AATTTTGTGAAGTGGTACTTGTTAGTAACCACGTACGTTCTCAGAAGACAGCCATAGTCTCCCGTGAAACTTGAAATTTCATCTTAAGTAAGCTTTTAACACCATATAAATGTGATTTTGTGTAGTGGTACTTGTTAGTAACCACGTACGTACAAATCAAAGAAAACAGGTGGTGTACAATTTTCACGAAGTGCGCGTATAAAAAAAAGAAAAATGCGTCATATTTCTGAGAGATGAATAACTTCTTGAACAACCTGTATCGCACCGTCCCGAGTCCGAGACACCGTGTTTATGATGTAGGTTAGTGAACCACCGCACAAATGTGAACATGTGTTCTGACGCAGAGATGCGGGACACTGAAGAAGTGTACGATTCGATTCGAGGATCGATACTCGAAAAAAAAAAAAAAGCTTTTTGGTTTCCTCGGGAAAAGCATATCCATTTCAGAATTCAGTCCGTACCGCGAAGAAAACACCACACTTCACCATTACAAAGATCGACTGGTTAACCCCAGAAGTCGAAGCTCATATAAATATTACGTAAGAATTCAGTCCGTACCGCAAAGAAAGCACAACACTTCACCATTACAGAGATCAACTGGTTGACGCTGTTTAAGAAATTAATCGCTGTTTTTCTCTCATAATCATGTCAAGCCCATAAATAATAAATAAAATTAGTAAAGTTCCAGGAATTAAAACGAGAAGCTGAGAATAGGGAAAACTGGAGAGCTCTTTTTGGGCAGAGCAATGGACCTGTCGTAAGACAGAACACTGAATAATAATAACATATTTACCACTGGGCTTTAAAGGGTTAGGTAAACTATCCTTAAAAATGTTTCCCATTAATTAAATACCAATAATTACAGATATAATGACCCGATACAAGGTCCTAAACCTTTGGGTTCCATGGGTAGGGAATTTCTTAGACAGCTGAGTACCCATTAGGACATCAATAAGGACTCTATTTCTTAGAAATAGTTAATATAATGAATTAGTGATTTTAAGTTATGAATGAAAAGGACGATAGAATGAAGCTACGAGTAACAGAAGATATAATAATATAAGTAATGTTACCAACAAACACCACAGCACAGAAAAGAGAGCGGATCTGTAGAAAAGTGGGTAGACTACGCTCGGTTTTGCGTGTTTCAATTAATTCTGAACGCGTCGTGAGGAATTACTAATTGCTATTTTATATTTATTCCAACATCAATTACGTGATATAACTTCAGAAAACAGAGCGGAAAAAAGTATCACAATTACTGGACGAGGTCTATTTTCTCAAATCAAAGTTAATAATTTTTTTTTTTTGAGATTACACTGCACCATATTTGGATGTTCATAGACAAATATTTCGGCATATATCCAGAAAAAGAATGTTATGGTTTTACCACGTCTGGTCGATTTTCATGAAACTTGGTAAGAAGGAAGTCATAGTTAAATGACCTTGAGATGCCTACTCTACTTCGTGTGGATGTAAAACTGACTTAACATCGATATATATGGCACAAAAGTAAAAAAAATATATAAGAAATAAATTAAATGTATTATACACCAATAACAGTCCCAGTTTTTACGCGGTTCAAAAACTTAGACACTCAAAAATATGAGACAAAGAAAGATTATAATACGTAGAAATTAGTTTTTGGAACAAGAGTAAGACTTTAAGACTTAAGAATAAATTATGACACCAGTAAAAGTTGGGAGTGTGCAAATGAATTAATAAAGTAACTGATTGGTTCGATAATTGTCACGCATCCTGAAGATTTGTAAAAATGTGAGTGATGAAAACCGAAGAAATTGGATTGAGGTCATAACCACCTATGACTTTCGCCCTAAATCCATTGTCATGTTTCAGGTTTGGCCGTGGCTCAAGTATGTAAGGACAAATTCTAGTTCAGAGGGCCCACCTAGATAACACACGTCAGGTACAATGCAGGGCCCGCCCCATTAAATGACTCACAGGGGTACCTGGCGAGAAATATTATAAAGTTCAAAATTTGTTAATTACTCGAGCGTCTGAAAATACTTTAATAATAAATTCGAGTAATCGGCCTTAAATTGTGAATGGTATTTTCGGGATATTACGTGACGCATTAAACCAAATACTGAATAGGACACAGTGGACTTTATCACATCGTCTCAAAGACTGCGGCTAAAACTCCACGAATTCTTTACCTCTGCTCTTGATAGAGGTCAGAGGTCAAATTCATGCATTGGAAGCTTTGCAAACTGCAATTACAAAATTAATCCTAAATTTTTTTTTCATATAATCCACACAGAGACATTCCTACATTCTCCTTTTTTATGTACCAAGTGATCCATTTCAAAGAAGTTTCATCCCAAAAATTCCGCACGCATTTCCTGTTACATCCAAGATAGGTTTCCAGCCTATCGTAAATCCGTTTATTTAACTGTTTCAAGGCTCGGAATCACTCAGTAAGACCTGAAATGTTCCTCTAGCATTACCCCACAAGTCGATACGCCGTTCTGCGGTTTATTAAGGTTAGTCAACCTGCCGACTCGTCTATTGAGGTCAATGTTGATAGGGCGTGGTGCGAAGGCTGGCTGCAAGACATCTCTTCGCAATTCTTTATACTAAGGTGTGCATGAGAAGAAACCAGGTATTTTTTGTAACTAATGCGTAATTCCAACATTTAACCTCGGCTAAACTTAGAAATACGCTGTCCACATCACCCAAAAACAAGCAAGTTGGGGGGGGGGGAGGCGATAAAACACGCGCAATTCTGACACTCTCTCAAAAAATCTCAACATAAACCATATCGTACGAGATTCTAAGGTTCTTACTGAAAATATCAGCTCTGGTCAGCTGGGTTATGACGCCGTGTATTCCGACAAAGGCCAGTGGTTATCTGTACGAGGGCGCTAATGTTCTCTCCGAATAACCATTAGCCTTTGGTTAGGATTTTTCGTTGCCCTGAGTCAGAAGATATCAGGTTACGATAAGACCTTTTGGAACTCTTTATACCAGGGATCCACCGGAAACATGACAAGAGAGTTAGGTCCGTCTTCGGCCTGCGGTTGAAAAATACTGCCTTTCATGTTCACGTCAGAGAACGCGATCTTACGTGACTAGTAATGAATCCGAGTTTGTTAATGAGGAGATATCCTTGATGCAGCTCTGAATGGGAGCGTATCGGCACGGGAGACAGAATGGTCACTGCGAAGCAGGTCACAATCTCAAACACTGTCACTTCCACAGCTGTAACGAACCGGAAGTTATGCTGTCTCATGACCAGAACGTTGGCGGATCCTGTCTCCAGATATTACCCAAATAGAAAGCCTTTTCCGTCCGTAGGAGATTTCTACGTTCGAAAAGAATGTTATAAGAGTTCAAGAAAGTTTCCAAAAACGCGCGGATTGTAATGAACAGGGACATTTCGTATATTTATCTTTTCTGGGCTCACATTTCGATTCATGGTTTTATAGTTTTATCGATGAGCCAGTAATACATTTCCCTCTTACACATATCATCCCTGGATACCATAATTTTCAGTATTCATTACTGAAAACCAAGCATCTAACAGCAAAAATGTGTCATACACAAAATTATAACCCGATGAGCTGGTGAATTATAAATGGTTCGCGGTGACTTGATAAAAAAATATATTCAGCACCTGCTAAAGACTGAAAAATGCTGGCACAAATGAAGCTTAAAACAGTATCTTTAATAACAGATAGAATATAATAAACTATCAAAATAATATGGATAGAAATACAGAAAAATATAATCAATATTTCGTTGTCAATAGTGCCAGTGACAATGTATTAACCCCTTTAAGCCAAAGCTCACGTAATAATAGTTAATAATTCAATCCATATCAACTTCGCCATTAAAGAGATCGATTGGATAATGATGTTTGAAGAAATTAATTGTTTATTCTGAGAATGTATAGATTATACCTGTCTTTAAATGGTTAATTTATTGGCATTAATCCACTTTCAATATAATATACTTAACAAGCTCGTCAATTGCAAAAATCCGTGACAACATAAAAATCAAGTTCGAACACCGGAACATTTCGGAAATAACGGCTGAGTGAACGTTAGCTTCTCAGAGTTCAAAGTCATCATCTCTGAACTTGTTGAAAGTCGAAGGTTCTGAGGAGGATACGACGGTCAGAAAAGCCCACGAGACTGAAGCTGAATTATAAATTCTTGCAACAACGCTCACTGTCACGAGCTTAATGGAAAATTAGAGTAACAATTCCGAAAGAAATACGGAATAACAACCATAATTGTGAATTAGAACGGTGAGATAAAAAGTGGTTAAAATAATTAAAAGGGAAAGGTAGGAAATTTAATATAACATCATGACATCTGTTATTTTATTCAATTTATATCTATAATGGTTAATAGCATTACATGGTTTTATATTTGACAGAAATCATAACACACGAGCTACAGACTAATCCTAATTCAATCCATAACAGATTACGTGTCTTGCTATTGACTGTAGCGATTAAATAACCGCAGAAATATTTGTGGCCCGATATAAATTACTAGAAATAATTAAGAACAAAAACTATATAAAAGAAAAACTAAATATTAATTCATTAATCAAGATTTGTCATGTCTTATTTTCCAATTAGGTAGCCAGCAAACAGCGGATAAACAATTTATGGTTGTGCTAAATACCGAATTCATCTAAGAAATTAAAAAATTTTCAAATTTTCATTTAACATTACCGACTACCTGCACAAAACTTCACGGAAACCCTACAATCAACGATATATTTCAACCAGCGACACGTTTATTATTTGTGGTTTATTTAATCAACGATATACTTCAACCGGCGACACGTTTATTATTTGTGGTTTATTTAACGACGCGTTTTCAACAGCTCAGACTACACGGCGTCGATAACGACATACACCAGTGACAGGAACTTCGATCACATACATTATCAAGGACTTCTGGGCAGAGATCCAGTACTACAGTTTCTAGGATTGGCGGTCAGCGGATGTATTCGTCAACAACTTGAATTCTGCAATTTATTTCTCATCAAACGTAGTTTACTGAAGCACAATAAATCAACAACGAATGAACAAAGTCAAGAAAACAACTACGTTGTGTGTCCGTAAATATGGCTGTCGCTTCAAGCTCTTCTGTAATATAAGGGATGAGAGAAGCGGGTCATAATTGCTTGATCGTGGATCCATCGCTAAATGTGAAACTGTCAGCCGTTTACGAGGAAATCACACCAAACATGTGATACTGCCACAAAAGTCAAGGGACAATCATAACGACAGACAAATTTCACCGTCTCGCGGAAGTGTAACGAACTTTTACAAACATGCAATGAACTGAGCAACAAATAAGAATTTCTTCTGACCAAACGAATGAGTAAATTATACAAGAACCAAATTATCTAGCGATTCCAGTATCATTACGAGCATCTAAGATGAGAGATATCGAAAAAGAAGTTTGGATACGAGAACAAGTCAACAATTCCTCTCATTTTCAGCGACATTTAAAACAAATCCTACTCCACCTGAAGTACAGCGTGGTCTGACACAAGGTAAACGCATGAAAACCAACTCAGCGTCATTACAGACGTGAATATATCAACTTCAGTTCCTGCTTTTTAACAATTTTGTGTATGGACAATAAAAGTTGAGAAAAGACATCACAACAATTCATCAAATGTTTTACAATCTGATTCAGAATCCCAGAAAACATGATCCAGAATCACGCGGCATTCGCGTCCTTCCAGTGTCCTTAGCTGCGATTCATCCTGTTACCCCAACCCTTACGATGATCATCCTTGTATTCATCCCAGTCTCTGGCATCTTTTAATAGCTTTGGATCATCCCTTTCCATTCTCATCTCCTTCTCTGCGTCTTCCTCTTCAGAGACACGGTTTGGGTCCCCCATCGCTGCCATTTCTAGCAGTGAAGCTGGCTTCTGTTTACTTGGGTCTGGCCAGCTGGAAAAATCCAATCACTAGTCAAACACTCGTCATCAGCTTGTCCGCCAATCTTCTAATTCACTGCAGACACAAATATGTTAACAAGCGTCAAAAGCAGGTGATATTTTGTCGCATTCATTCACTGTTATCCTCAGTATTTTATGCGCACCGCTGATTTCCATTTGGGAAGTATTTGATTCTAGTCTCGACTGGCAGACTGGCTATGTTAAACGAGATTTTACAATTTTCCTCTGGACAGTAATCCAAACAAAATTCTTTCAAAACCATCAGTCAGATAACATTCCATCACTCTTCATTTGCCTCTATTAAGTTGATATAGCATCATTAAATTGACCACGAAACTGGAGAATCTCCGAAAGAAACTGCTATGACACCAAATATCTTGTGTTGCCGAGTGTGTAAGAAATCGAAGAAGAAGAATAAGAGATACCTGATGAAGGAAGTACTGTCATGGAATTAATATTAAGAAGAAAAATAATACAAGACTCCTTTCAGAAGAACCAATAAAAAATGTTTTCTTCCTGCGTATATTACGAAATGTCTTTATAAATGGTAAAATTATCTTAAAAAAGTAACCTACTCCGTCAACTGTTAACAGAAATTCTGCTGTTTTATAGTTCTCGTTGCAGCGAAACTTAATAATCAAAAAAAATCATCTTGAAAAAGTAACCTACTCCGTCAACAGTTAACAGAAATTCTGCTGTTTCATACTTCTCGTTGCAGCGAAACTTAATAATCACCGACACCGTAAAACGCCACTGCAACTTTTCCGGAGACAAGAGAACATAATTCATAACCTCAAATACTATTTCCCTATGATACATTCTAACATCACATATTCATCTTTGTTCTTGAGTATTTCATGGCGGTTTCAAACAGAAATTTTGTATAATTAATTATGATTTTATTACGATCATTTTTCACAACTTAACCAGTGACGGTGTTTTATGTTTATTGCACTATTTCACTAGTCACACTTAACCAAGACACCAGGCCAGAAACAAGAAGAAGAAAAAGAATAAACACAAAACATAACCAAAAAAAACAAAAATGATAGCATAAAATATCAATGACATGAAAGCCATTCCTGAAGATTTTGTCAGCTAGATACTTTTAATCATTATTTTCTTACAATTATATTTTAAAAAATTAAGTAAATTGCATAAGACAACAGAAGCGAAATTGATGATTTATGAATACCAACTGAAACATGTTAAAAATGCATGAACATCATCAATGGTTAAGTATTTCAAGTATCAATACAATAAGATAATTATACAATTAACACAACAGGATACAGTGAAAATTTAAAAATGTTATATGAATGTTACATATTTTAAAAATCTCAACTTTCTTGATTAAAATCACCATTCCAGTTCTAATTTTAGAACAACTATGAAACTCCTCCTAATGAAATTATTGTTTCACTGCTCCCCCAAGTTCAAACGTGTTTCTTTCCACCTGTAAAATTAACTCTTTAAACCCTAGCACATATACCACTTGGTTTAATATTCACTAATTCTGTATTTCGTCCACCAAGTGTATCTATTGGTGTCACAGTATTCTCAGAGTAAACCATGGTTATTTCCCTAAACAGCATTATCCAACTGATGATGTAATGGAGAAATATAATGTTTTCTTTAAGGTACAAACTAAATGTTTAAATATTATGCAGGTTAATTCCTGACTTCACAGGGTTAACTCAAAATTCAATAATTTATTTCTGATTTTACACAGAGTAGCTTTGAATAAATACCACTTTGGCTTCTGGATGGTACACAGACTTTTTAAAAAATCGGATGATTACTGGATAAAAAATCTGGAGAAAAGACCGACAAGTTACTGCAAGTAATGGTAAACTTCATTTAAAAGTACAGCAATGTTCCATTATCCTGTACGGTTATGTCAAACTGTAACTAGAATTCTTTAATTCTAAGCTTATCATAATTTCTGTTTCATCTGGAGAAGCTTCGATGCAGGTAATATTTAAAAATTGGCTATGGAGAGGATATTGATGATCCTGCGGACATGCAAAAACCTTGATAGGAAAGACCAAAAAAAAAAAGTCACCTGTAGCTCATACTCCATCTTGATTAGATTTATATTCATGTCACTAAAGACAGTAAGAATGATGGTGTCAACCACCAACTCTTTTGTTAATCTAAAATTAAAAGTAAATGAAATCCAGTAAGTTTGTACTCACTCTCCATCCTTGACTCGCTTCTCATAAAACTCCTGCACAGTCATTACAGGAAGGCTTGGATACCCAGCACCAAACACCTTCTTCTGAACCTCATTTTTTGTTATAATAAATGGCTGCAAAGGTTTTGGTGGAGGAAATTTCCCTTTTTTAACTTTATCACCTGCACTCGTAAAATGTTCATCCAATTATGATTTTATTACGATAATTTTTCACAACTTAACCAGTGATGGTGTTTTATGTTTATTGCGCTATTTCACTAGTCACACTTAACCAGGCCCGAAACAAGAAGAAGAAAAAGAATAAACACTCCATCTTGATTAGATTTATATTCATGTCACTAAAGACAGTAAGAATGATGGTGTCAACCACCAACTCTTTTGTTAATCTAAAATTAAAAGTAAATGAAATCCAGTAAGTTTGTACTCACTCTCCATCCTTGACTCGCTTCTCATAAAACTCCTGCACAGTCATTACAGGAAGGCTTGGATACCCAGCACCAAACACCTTCTTCTGAACCTCATTTTTTGTTATAATAAATGGCTGCAAAGGTTTTGGTGGAGGAAATTTCCCTTTTTTAACTTTATCACCTGCACTCGTAAAATGTTCATCTTTCCTAACCTTAGCCATATATTCCAATAGTGGTTTTTCCATTTCAATGCTATGAAGTTCATCCACAGCCTGGATGGCAAAGTTTTTAATTAATGTCAAGTAATATTTTCTTTCAACTTCTTCATCAACTATACTCATACTGGAAAGTGATCTCTTTATATCTTCTAGCTCACTCTCCAACTGCTTTTGTTCCCTATAACGCTGAAGCTTTGAATTACGTTGTCTTGACATAGCTGCTAGATCAGCAGCATGAGACTGTTGTACAGATTCAGTAGATTCAGATGAATTTTCTTTAGGTTCCGGTATTCCAACATCAACAATAGCATAGCTCTTACAACGTCTCAAAAAATCACGGAAATAAATTTCTGCAGTTTCCACAACATTGAAACGGTCTTCAACACAGAGTTTCAAGCTAAGAGTTCCCAAAAGGGCAGGAAGGAGAAAGTATCTAATATTATTTGTGGCAACTTCTTCTATGCTTTCATTAGAACTGAATATTCCTGCCATGGACACTAATTCTGTAGCTTCTTCAAATAAACGCATCGCTTTCTTAACCTTTACCTGAAAACAAAAGTACACAATATTGCAGTATATATATAACCTACGTTTGTAACAGGTATTCTGAGTATAAACTAATATCTGAAATGTTTTCAACAAAATACGACTCATATATCTTGTTGTACTTACTTGAACAGTACTGCTATTTGTAGCTTCACTAGTTTTCGATACATCTTCAAAAATCTTCATACCTTCATCAAATATTTGTGAAATTTTCTTCTCACCCGGTTCTTCACTTGACGCCATATTTAACCACAGAGTAGAGTGATTAGTCATCACAGATAATAAGTTATCATCTATGGGGTGGTCGACGTTATCGGCATATGATTTCGATACCTCTACGGGTTTATTTTATAGCAACTTTTCTTTTGGGAAGATGCACCTGAAGCCAGTATTTATTTCAAGCGATTGAAATGGAGCAATATGTGGTTTTAATGTTATTCCACCTTTCTAACCTCACACAACTTTCAAACACATAAATGGCAACACTTCAATTAAAAAGTAATGTTCAAACTCTGTTGTAATACAAATGACCCAAAGATATAACCCCATATGATGAAAAATATGCACAGCCTAAGTTAAAGAACTAATAAACACAATAAAACAACAAATGTTAATCAAAACAATGTATAAACAACTTTCCTAAGATTTTTAATAAAGTTCCACGAAGTTTCAATAAATTATCCTTATTTATAAGCTAGCAACCAGACAGTAAGGTAGGAAGCAGCCCGTTCTTGTAACATTGAAAACTCTCGATATATTTGAAACTGCAAACTTTATAAGTCTGTTGTAATAAACGGCAGATTAACTCAGATATATTTTGAGAGTAACACTGTTTCTGTTCCACAACTTATAAACAGTGCATCACTAATTACAGAAAAGCCTGGCTAGAGTCAGACACCCATCATATTAATAAGGCAACATGCTCAATAAATAACGATCCTAACCACACCATTGAAGAAGTTCATAACGGCATTGACAGCGAGGAACTTACATCAGCTGTATAGAACTTAAAAAATAAAGAGGATACAAAATATGATAATGGAATTTTAAGTAGTATATAGAACACTATTGCAAAATACTTAATATTGGTATACATGGATACAGTTCACTTAAATGTAACTTCAGTATTAACAGAGATGATGTGAAAATAATATTTCAGAGAAATTACATGTTACAAAGCACTAAATTTAATTCCATCTGAATTCATATATAAGTAAGTTTACAACATACACACAATAGAAAGAAAACATGACTTAACTTTCATAACTCTTTAACACATTAAATATGTTGTAATATGTTTGCATTTCAATTTATATGCTATTACATACCATCATCAAATAAAACTTATTATGATGATGAGACTGTATTTCTGAAATCTGAAAACATATAAGAATGTAATAAATATTTAGAATATCGATCCAATTTTTTAATTAATAACATGAACTACAGTGGAGGCACATCTTCAGAAATTATCAGAAGTATTACTCTTGATCTTCTCTGTCTGCAAACTGCGTTCAGTGCAGACTTGGGAAGCACAGATTCTGTTTCAAAGCCTTCCGTCACTTTTTGGAGATAATTGTCTCTTCTAGGCGCTGTAGGACCTCTTAATGTTTATATTCCTTATCCACACATATTTTATCATAATAACTATTAGAATTACATTTATTTATATGACAACAAAAAGGAAAGATCATATTACAGTTTATTTAAATTAATGTAAGTACAGAATACAGGAAAGAGTTAGAAACTCGGATGTTATTACTGCCTTCAAAGTAGTTCTTCCATTTTATATTCATGCCTCATTATAAGATGTCTGTGTGCTGCTTACCTGAAATTTCACACAACAAAATTATCAAATACGTATTTACACTCATTTTTCTTTGTTATGAGCACAATTTTGTCTGCAATGAGATCTTTCATTCCACAACACAACATTCAGAAGTTTGTTCTTAGAAAATTATTATACACGAAATTACTCTGATATGAAGCCATGAGGAAAAATATTAATGGTTGCTTATGGAATAGTATTAGAGCAGTGGTCCCCAACCTTTTTGAGAGTTTCTGAGATCGTGGCGGGCACCAACCAATTAACAAAGCCAAATTTTCTGTTCTCTGGACAAATAAGATATGGACACCAAATAATACGCAAAACAACACGACGTTTAATGATACAAGAAACCATGCAATCAAAAATACGTACTTTTATAGGTACAATTATTATTACTCAAGTGGGAAGTTAGTGTGATGTTTGGCGCCGCATTTCATCGGCCAGTTTTTCAAATTTGGGACTGTAGCATGATGTTGCTGCTCGCAAACAATCGTCAAGATGGGCGTCAGTAAGTCGAGATCTGCGCTTTGATTTTATAATGTTCGTGGTTGAACGGCCTTCATTATTCAGTATAACCTCGTTCCGTAACAACGCGGGCACCCAAAAAAAAAAGCCTTGGCGGGCGCCATGGCGCCCGTGGGCACCGCGTTGGGGACCACTGTATTAGGGGATCACCATCCCATCAAACAACTGATGCATATAGATGAACCCACATGTTTATTTCAAATTTCTCCTATGCTGAACGTGCAAAATGCTAATGATAATCAATGAATACTGAAAGTGTTAGGAGGAATGTTTGTTTCACGAAATCGTTTCTGAAAATCTGGGTACTTGCCGCTCACACTCTGCACTGCAGTTACCGCAAGATAGAATGTGCTATGAATCTGGGCACTTGCACTGCACACAATCCTCCATGTTCTGGTCAAATGCCTCTATCTGCAACGTCACCTCATAGAAGTTGAATTGAGATCGGATATCATGCAAGGCCTGCTGGAGAACCATCTGAGGACTTGCTCCAAGAGCTGGATCAACATGAAAAGAAGCAGCAAACCTAATCAACTAAATTTTCCCCATACTATACAAATTTTGAGAAACTGATTTTACACTACTTTGAATCATTTTGTATGAGTATCTTGACATGACAAAACCAAATATTATTCATATGAAATAATTTGAGATTTATCTACAAGTCAAAGGTACAACTTACAAACAGCAAGATGGGCTGAAATTGCTGTTTTGTCCATGCTCAGGGCCCAGATCCTCAAGTTGTGCACTCGAACCACCCCCTCTATATTCAGGAACGTGTTCATAACTTGGGTGAAGTCCATCCCTTTGGGCAGACCTTTAAACAGAGCCCAGTTAGTCAGCCAATAATATGGGAAGATTTGTAGTGTACATGAATTTTTGGCTTATAATTTGGATTATAAAAACAAATACATAAGAGGGGCAGTCAAAAAGTACCCGGAATTGTGGTATAGCACTGTAATGGTAGGACATATGGCAACGCTTACCTAATCACCTTCAAAGTAGGACCCTTGCGCGCACACACTTGCTCCATTGTCGGAAGCACCGGCGGAAGGCTTCGTTTGGAATCTTCCGGAGTTCGGCCGTTGCATTCCACACCTCGCTGGTTGTGCGGCAATTCCTCGCTGAGAAAAGCATTCCCGTCATGACCCAACCACCATACTCTCCGCATCTCGCTCCGAGTGACTTCTGGCTGTTCCCTACTCTGAAAATGGGCCTCAAGGGGACGCGCCATATGTCCTACCATTACAGTGCTATACCACAATTCCGGGAACTTATTGACTGCCCCTCGTATGATAAGTACCACACAATTTTGTTTTCGTTCAAAGCAAGTATCTACAATAGATAGAAGCCTCTACGAAACATAAAAAGATTCCTTTTGACATTGTAATAAGCAGGTTTTACTGTATCATAAATGCAATCAGCTACAAAATTTTTGATCATCATTCTAAAGAATGGCAGCTAGTGTTTACCTTCCATTAGCACCCGCATCGTATCCTTGATGATTGCAAAGGTTGTTATTAGCACCAAAACAGAGAAGAGGAATGTACAAATTGGGTCCACTAGAACCCACGTAGGCTGCAACACACAACCACACAGTTCACTGTTAATTTTGATTTATTACAAGATTATACATTAAGTCACAGAAACCACGACATTACATTTCCTGACTTGGCCATCTTATTCGATAGGAAGAGAGAGGGGATGACTGGCAGACAAACCATCCCAGCTGACGATCAGACCAAAGCCTCTGTACTTAACCTTTAAAATCTGTGCTTTATGGTTTACTCATGGTCCAGCTGACGTAAACTGCTAAACCCCATCGTTAGTCAGGGTGACAGCCCTACAGAATGCACAGTGAAATAAGTGCTAAGCCCTTAACTTGATCCTTTGTAGGGCAAAAAAATTTCTCACTAAAAAAATTTTAGATTTCAGGTTCTCACAGTATTTAGTGCCTTTATCATCACAGCGATGACAGAGGCATTAACCACGTGTGAAAATTCAATCAATTTTTACGAGACTACATGCCAGAAGACAGTCATCGTCAACCAAAAATGTGTCTATAGACGAGATCAGAGACGTAGAAACATAAGTGTTCAGGCACTCACACACAGTTTAATCACCTCATATTTCAATACACTGTTGTTATATTTGAAATTAAAAAGTATACGACCATGAATGCCATCTGTTATGATCTGCCTCAACCACGGTAATAAAATGCTTGATAGCACACTCCACACCTGGGTAACAGTTCCGTAATCGAATAACAAACTTTCAAAAAAGGTTATATTTGCGTAAAGTTATTATGCTCTTTCCTTTATTTTGCCAGACTGAGTTTCAACAGTTAGTATCGCAAAAATGAATGAACACCTTACCTTGAAAAATATTACCAAAGCAGCTATAAAAACGCCAAAGCTCTGGATAAAGTCACCCAAAACATGGATGAAAGCAGCTCTAACATTAATATTTTGCCGAGGACTATGACTTTCTATCTGACTCTCTGCACGGTTATGGGAACTGCTGTGGGAGTGGCCATGCTGATGAAGAGTGATGCCCATCCTGTAAAATCCTTACAAGTAAATCCCCGTACAAACACGTCAGACATTACACTGGAAACGTTAATAAAAACCACAACCCCAGAATAACAGGTATTTTGCCTGTTATATAAACCCAAACATTCACAAATGAAACGTAAGTAGTAATTAATAAGATTTCTGTCGTCTGGGTTGTTGCGCTGTGTAGTCTGGGCGATGTTAACCAACGTTTCAGAGGTCATACTGCCGCCATCATCAGGGCGATGAGTATGAAGATTTCTGTCTTCTGGGTGGTTGCGCTGTGTAGTCTGGTCGCTGTTAACCAACGTTTCAGAGGTCATACTGCCGCCATCATCAGGGCGATGAGTATGAAGATTTCTGTCTTCTGGGTGGTTGCGCTGTGTAGTCTGGTCGATGTTTACCAACGTCATCAGGGCGATGAAACATTGGTTAACATCAACCAGACTACACAGCGCAACAACCCAGACGACAGAAATCTTCATACTCACCGCTGTGAAAACCTCAAATCTTACATAGTAATTAATACATTATAACATTTACTTAGCCAGTGTATATTGCGCAGAAAGCTCAGATAACAATAAAGCCTACTAATGTCATGGTTTTCTATAGGTAAACTGAACGCCCAACCATTCCGTGAGTAGCCAGACATATTACCGAGTTACCGCATCTAATTCAATATAAAAGAACAGGTAGAGTTTTGTATAACCAAAATCATTGGTGAAAAATGCATTATACAGACTGTTATATTAAGTCTTCCTTCACGTTGTACTGCAAAATTTTGGGCATGCTGGCGGTGAGATATTACTTAGGATCACATGTATGAAAGAGAATCATTTAATTATCACAAGAATGTCCTCATTTTATGACTCACGCTCATTTCTTTCAACCTGGAACTACGTGCCAGGTCACTCTAGCAGTTTTAAAACTACGCCCATAATCGCATTTTAGAGAGAGTGAAGAATGTAAAACTGACACCAAGTTAACTGCAACTCCAACACCAGACGTGATGAGCATCGATGTACTCTCAATCTCGAAGTCTCTAGTGATGACCCTCTGTACTGCTAGGTAGACCAGAATGCCAGTGACCACCCATATCATGAGGACAGAAGTCAGCGCTCCCAGAACTTCGGCTCGATGCCAGCCGAAACTCATCACGCGAGTTGGTGGCCGTGATGCAACCCACAGTGCAAACAGTGAGATCATAAAGCTTGCAAAATCAGTGAGTAAGTGCGCTGCATCCGTTGCTATGGCGAGACTCGATGACAGATAACCACCTGCATAAGACCGAGATCACAGTATCTCAGGCACGCCACAGAAAATCATAAAATATATGACGGCTTAACAATAATTTGTCCCACATGTAACACGCATGACAAAATCAATACAAGTAACACGGGGGGCATAAATCAAAGGAGTATACACATTTTCAGAATGCATTATATAATGTTTTACAAAGCTCACTGGTGTACATATTTATTGCAAATACAAATCACATTTGATATGTCTCACTGCATAGAGTCAGGAATTATTTTCCTTTCTAATCTGTTAAAACATTTCAATTCTAAGATATATACCAACTTTTTGCAAAATGAAATGACCAACTTCACGCAGAGAGGCCCGTCTTGAGAAGCCGATAGGTGCTTAGCTAGTCGATAAATCCCCGGCTGTTTAGTGAACCAAAATTTTCATTACTATGTTGAGAAGAGTCCACCATTGGTCCTTATCCTAAGCCAGATGAGACAAGTCAACACTAAAAGATTAATGTGACTTGAAATTTAATATGCTTATCAAATTTAACCTTAATCAGATAAATAATACAGGAACTGAAAGGGAAAACAGAATTTGTGAAGAAGCAATTATATGAACATGACATGTTCTCGAACTTACCGACGACTTCTCCGATCATGAAGACGACACAAAGAATACTGGCGATGATCAGTTTACGTCGCGCCTTTCTGTCTACTGTGGTGGGAATAAACTGATGGCAATGTTCCCCAACTAGAAACAAGCATACAAGACTGACATGTTTTGGGCAGTTCGTCCATTCCATTTTGGTATATTTACCTTTAATATTCCAAGGATGTGCCCTAGTCAGACGGTAATAACTTTTCTTTTTTATGGTTTTACTTTTTTGCATTCATACATTTAAAGCTGGTAAATTATAAAATCTGTACTATAACCTGAAAGCATGATATTTCAACTCCGAATAAATACAACTTCGCTACTACACATATCCTATATGATTTTAAAGGTACTTGTACCATGGCATTACAACCCGTAAGACCAAGATCAATGTCTTCTCCACAATGAGAACCTCGCACAACGTAAATACATATTTCTGAAGGAAATGTACAAACAATTTAAAGAACAAATCTTTACCAATTGTCGCTGTAAAGGGATCCTTCCGCTCGTGGTTAGAAGTTGCGTCGCCATTTATCGGCTGGTCGATGATCTCTGAATCAGACAACACACAACAACCATTCGGCTTTCCATGGATACAGTAGATGACATGCTGAATGGTCGACTGGTTGGTTGAATCAGCCGGAAGACTCCCATATATGACAGACTTCTTCGAAAGTCTGCAACAGAATTAATAACTAAAACCTGAAGGGAAGAAACCACTTGGAAGACCTTGACATAAATGGGAGAATATAAAGACCTATTTTTTGTGTATTAACCATTAATGGACAGAAGGAGTTTAGTCGGCATATACATGTTCAAAGATGGAAATATCTTCATAATGTGCAAAACATTTCAATATTTTTTTTGCAGTTAACACCTTTTTCTACAACGGACAATTTGGGAGGAACAGAATAGTTTATAAAACCGATATATAAGTTTTTGAACAACATGTTTCTAACTTAAAGAATAAAACGATCTCAGGATTCTCTTGATATTTGGGAGAAATGCAGTGGGACAGGCAGATTTTGGCTGTTACATGTAACTCCCCAAAGGTTTTCTCAATTAAAATTTCATCGACAATTCTCATTTCTCTCACACGTGCCACACGTTAACACCCATTTCATCCTTACTGATGCAACCATCCAAACAATACAAGGTCATGAGTGCATGCACTCAGATTGAACTACATTCAAGATTTCACCTAAAACATTTATCCTAACATTTTTTGTTTCCCACATCCGGGCAAGAGATACAGGTCATTTTAAACTTCTGGATTCAACTACCCTAGTACACATTTTGAAACACTGCACTGTAACTGTTAGAATTAGTCATATCATCAGCCAATTGGGTAGCCACTTACAGTGTTAAACTGCGCTTCTCTTCGGAAGTCATATTTCACTGATAATTATCAACATAAAACAACTTTAATATAAATTAAATCATGCACACGTGTACAGAATACCGTTTAAAATAGTTGCCTCTCACATATATGTACATACTGAAAAAATTTATAGGAAAAAAAAAATATTCAAATTCAAATGGACACTTTAATTCAACGCAGTTTGTGCCACGTACAAAATACATCTGCTAGTAATATATCTATCAACTTCTTTTACAACCATATTAAACCATTGCACACCGCTCTAAAAACATGATAGCATACAAGCGAACAGTGTTTAATCACTGATTACTGAGTCAGTATAAATAACGAGAGGAGATGGGAAGGGAGGATGAGACTGCTTTGGTGCCGTGTGGAGTTGGCAGGTCAAAGTTCAATGTTACAGACAGAATGCTCTTAAATACCTGACCTACACATTTTTCTCACAAAGAAGAATGCAGACAGTATTAATCTCATTCTTTACACCTACATTTAATCCCATATCTACTTATTACTTTATTTAATGATGCTTTCTCAGATGCACAGATTATACAGCAAGAAAAGGGAGAATAATGGAGTAAAAATTATGTCCAATGATTGCAAGTCTGATGAATAATGAACTGGAAAGGATATGGAATGAAGTGGTCATGGCCTAATCAGTACTACCCTAGCATTCAGAGGAAATGAGGAAAACCATGAAAAGACTTAATACAAATGGTTCTAGGCTGAGATTTTAACCCAGGAACTGCAAAATATGTAACAGGAGTACTAACCATTAAACCACAATGATCATTGCATGGGTATAAAACCTTGTCCTTGAAAATACTGAAAGAACACTGGACTACAGATATTTAGGAAGAAAGAGAAGGAGAAATTGGCAAGGCATGTAGCATACATAGTATATAGAAGTAATTCATATATCTTATTCACAACACAGGAAGAAAAGAGGCCACTACAAAGACCTAGGTGTAGATGGGAGAATTCTATTTCCACACAACTTACGGAAGTACGATGTGAAGATATGGACTTGATTCATGTCACTCAGGAGAGGCTCAATGTCATGATCTTTTGAATAAATTAATTGACATTTTGGCTCCATAAAACACTGAAAATTTCTTGATTATCTGAGTGACTTTCTACTCTTCCATGGAAATGGTTAGTAAATACTTCATTTTCTTTAGAGACTTGTATATATAAGAAAGATTTTACAAGACAGCAATAGTATAATCCACAATGTATGTAACTTTTCATCCACTTTTCTAACCATGAAATATGCAAAATTATTCCAACTCCAACCACACCAGTTCCCTGAAAATGTAAAGGATTATGTGGGGCACTGCAAAGTTATTACTGTTTTGTAGTCCTTTCCCCATCTTTAAAATTTCCACACAAGCTTAAATAAGACAGATATGCAAAAGATATCCTGAGCATAAACATAACATTTTGCTATGACAGAGTGTCTTACATAACATAAGTGTAAATGAATTTATAAAACAATTTAAATTATCAGGCTAAACTGGAATGAAGTTTAATGTTTCCCGGATGGTGTAGAGTACTGTGCAATATCCCTAGTTCATGTGTACAAGTTAAAATGCTTCAAACAGTCAAAGTGTTTTCTACAATGAAGTAACTTGCTCATGACTAATCTGCATGATATGCAAGTATGTGACAATCTTATTGCATGGTGCATCATTACAGGAACATGGAAATGGTTATGGTTATGGCCAGTTTGAAGATGCAAACCCTCAATACTTTGAGATAGAATGGAGAAAACTTCATCAAACCTTGTAAGAACAGCAACTGTAGGGCAGATGTGATACTGATGAACTAAACCTACAGAGTTTTTATATTAATCATGGTTAGACTTCTTCAGCAATGGCTCCCAAAGCATGATTAAATGAGCAGTGCTTGTAGTAATACTTACAAATACAAAGAAATATGATGTAACAATAAATAAACTGATAACCCAACATGTTTTTGAAATTCTGACCCATATCACAGCACTGAAGATTCCTTGAGATTCTGCAATCATCCATGGACACACTTACAAACTATATTTGTATCTTACTGACTCCTACAACCCATTACACTTCCTTCTCAGTTAGCAGTACTTCCCTTCATGTATTTGATTAACAATAACTGTCTTGAAACTAGCGTATCCAAACACCAACTTACTTCCAAGTCCAAAATTTGCTTTCGTGTTTTCAAAACAAATTATAGACTGACATGACAACACGAAATATACACTGAAAAAACAGTTAACTGCAGCTCAAAATAAACCTTCATCTGCAACACTACCACACCTCAGTTTTCGTTTACTTACCTTTCCATCTGAACAAATTTGTTTCATTCTTGATTCACTACACACAAACATAATTTACGGCAAAGGCTGAAGTTCTATTCACCCAAAATGAGAAAACATTATACACATAACTTACAGTCCCTATCACAACAACCATTAATATTTATAGTACATAAACAGTATTAACCGACTATTTCTTCCTTCTTCTACACCCCACATTCATTTCTTTGAAAATTCTGTCAAACTGTATCATTTTACTTGCTTCGCAAACACACATTACAGAAACGCGAAAGAAACTTTCACAACTGAACAGGGTAGCCAACACACCAATCATATAAGTGATAGAATTCCCAGCAATGTAGAAAATTACCAGCAAGAGAGAAATAACAACGAAATACCAAGGAAAATACAAAGTAGACCTGAACAGAGGGCGTGAGAGTAACCAGTAACAACAAAATACCAGGGAAAATACAAAGCAGACCTGAACAGAGGGCGTGAGAGTAACAAATTGCGACATTTGTATCGCCATTTACGACCTTGGCAAATGCTTCAGACAAGAAATAACGCCATGTTTAAACAAAATTCAAACTAAATGGATTAACCTAATAGAAAAACACAAACTGACCACACGAATTAAGCTGGATGCATTTCATGAATTTTTCATTGACGCAGCACAACTTAACGTCCACAAAAAAGTATCTTTTTACTACGTAATACGTGGAAAAATCAAACAAACGAATGCTTAGAGCAACAAGGTAGGACAGTGAGAACAAATATGCGCCAGGATCACTCTGCAACCTAACTTACACTAAATAAAGCTTACCGAAAGTAGCCGAAACTCCTCTGGTGACTCTTCGCGCGTGTTTCAAAATAAAGAATGGTCAGTTGAATTTACATTAAATATCAGAAGGATAGAATGCCACATCAGATACGTGCAAAACCGTAATTCAAACGTTCCTCTAAATGTTAAATTTTGCGTAACAGATGCTCAAAGTCGTGAGGTGGCACGGTGAATACACCAATGCGCAATGACCTGCTGCGCAAACCTAACCTAACCTAACCTAGCCGAAAGTCCCAACCTCGGGTGATGATCGGATGCGCGAAAATCATAATTTGAGAATGGTTAGATGGATTTTCATAAAATTTCACATGGATGGTATGCCACATGAGATT